ATGCCACCGCACTCCAGTCTGGGTGACAGAGTGAGACTCCAACTCAAAAAAAAGAGAAATGCTTCAACTATTGTAATGCGGTAGCCCCAAATCTGAGAGGGCCTGCACATAATGTTTACCTATTTCAGAGAAGTCACCTGGAGGTCCAGCAGGAAGAGACATTGGTTTATTATTTACGAGAGGGCACCAATGGCAGATAGACGGTAAGGAACCAGTGCCAGTTTTATAATCAAGCAAGCTAATTACTCAAATTCCAATACAGTGTTTATTATCACATTGATTAAGAGTGCTACCACATTATCTTTAGGTTGCTTGGCTACTTGTATCCCTTGAGGGGTCACCTGAATTCCATGACTTACTAGGAAATATGTGCATATCCTGCAGAAATAAGCCTTGGCTAGAGACTGCTCCCTGAAGGAGGTGCAGAAGGAAGCAGAATATAGGGAGAAAAAAAGTGGTGCGTCTGGACATTTGTCTCACAATCATCTACCACGGTGTGCTAGCCAAAAACTCTGAGTCGTTCTCGATTCCTCTCCACTTGCACCAGCAGGTCCTCTTCACCCACTGTCCCCCAAATACTCTGAATGGAGTCCCACCGCACCCCTCCACTATCTCCCCCTTGTCACTTCCCACCTGTCCTCCCCTCCTCAGACCCTTCTTCATTCAACAGCCACCATGATCTTTTCAAAACATATCGTGTCACCACCCTGCTTAAAACCCTACCCCAGCTTCCTGTCAAACTTAGAATAAAATCCAAACTTCTTAGAGCAGCTCCAAGTCTCCAAGGCTCTGGCCTGGATCTCTCAGACTCCATCTCCTGTGCCCCACCTCTCAGTCACTCTTCTCCACCCTCATCTGCTTTTTTCTGCTTCTCAACTTGTTCATCTCCTGCCTGGATTGTTCTCCCAGATACCGCCTTCTTATTCCTGAGGTTTCTGCCTGAATTCCAAGAAAAGTTTGCCCTGACCAACCATAGCTCTTTGTGACATAGCCCTGTTATTTTATTTATAGGGCATTCACTATCTGAAATTATATATCTGCTTACTTTCTACCTCTTCTCTGACCTCCTACACTAGAATGTAGGCTCTCTGAGAGCAGGGACTTTGTCTTATTCCA